ACAAAGCGTATACTCAATTTTGTGAGTAGCAGTATATAGATATAGTACATATCGACGCCTCCAAACCCTACTATGCTATGTCAGCTTAGACTTAGGGCCGGTTACTCAATGTCTGGTTAACACTAATCTGCGGGTAAACATCTTTATCGACGTGTTCGGCTCCATGCATACAACAGGGAGTCGGTAACGTCGATAACTATGTTTAACCGCAGATTAGTGTTAACCAGACATTGAGTAACCGGCCCATAGTCATGACAAAAAATTCGTGTTCATTCAGAGCCTACTATAGTTTTTATAATGAAAAAAGTGTCTCCAAACGAAACGTACGTAACGCAGGAAACACCCATATGGAGAAAATGAGCGATACCTTCACCAAAAACTTGCCAAAAATCAACGGTATGTCCTAGCTACTTCAAACTGACAGTTTAATGGGCTACAAAAATACGAACTCTTTTTTAGAGATCTAATTAAAATCATCGATATTTTTACGAAGTTTTAAACTTAGATTAATTTGGTTTTTGTTAAGGAATAAACTATATTTTTATAAAAAAAATTATTAAAATTAAATAATAATAAAAAACTCGTCAAAACTTTACAACATATGGGTGTATTATAGTTATGATAAGCACTATATAATGAAAACTTTGACACTTATTCATCACAGTCGGAATCTAAATCCCATCCACGCCTCGTTAAACTAATATTATTCGCTTCTAGTTCTACTAAGTAGCTCCATTGCTTCAGCAAAGAAAGATCTCCGGTTTGTGACCACTAGCAACAAGCGCGAGCAAGTTATCAGATGATCTGATGAAACTAACAATCTATTAAAAACGTCTTGTAAATTGTCAGCGCGACTCGTTTTCCTACTGAAGATGTATCTTAAGTTTTTAAATCCTTGTTCGAACTAAATCCGCTTCTCGCTAATGATTTGAAAGTCCTTTATTCATTGAGTTTAAGTTCGAAATGAAACAGAATCAAACTTAACCAGAAGTATATCTTTTTGTGTTTAATTAAAATCTAAGTGAAATTTTTAAAACCAATTTATTTAAAAATGTGCAAAGTGCTTTTGGTTTTGAACTCGGATTCTTAACCAATTTAAAAGCGCTTTGCGCATTTAAAAAAAAAATATTTTGAAAATTACACGTGCAAAATACAGTTAATTAATTTTTTTATTGAACATAATTTTTTTAAAACATAATTTTTTTAAAACAATTCCAAAAAAATACAAACTTTATTTTAAGTAATAAAATAAATAACGAAATATAATACCGCTTTCTTACAGTAACAATTTGAACTACACATTTGAGTTTCTCAGTTTAAAAAAAAAAAATATTGGTCAAATATTTTAAGTTTGGACACGCAACGCCGAAAAACGACAGAAAGCTGAAAACCAAATGTAGAGTTTAATGGGAAATAAACCTGCGTTTTTATTTTTCCAAAAAAGAAAAAAACAATTTTTAAAACATTGAGTTTTGAGCACGCTGGACCCCATTGTGCGACGGCGGAATAACTTTTTGTCAATTATTCACTATGGCATAGCGACGAATAACTTTCCGGCAGAGGAATAAATATTTATTCCAATAGTTTTTCCGAAGAGTTTTGACATTCGGAGTGTCAAAATATTATAAAATTTTTTAATTATTATTTTTTTTGAATTCTCAAATACATGAAAAACTAACAAATATTGTCCAATTCAACGTCAAGAACTTTGCCTGCTTCAAATTAAATACATTAATTAATTAATTAAATTAATAAAGATAAATATACCACAGTGTAGAGGAATAAATTCTCTACATAATTGCGGTGGGAAGTATTGCACCGCGGCTTATCACTTTCACGTAATCGATTGGTAAATTCAATGATTTTTTTTTATGAAATATAAGCCGAGAATAATGTTACTCATACGCCAGGTACGAGTATCCAAGCGTTTGATCAAACGTAAAGGAAGACGATAACAATTGATTACGCGATGGGATTAGTCGTAGCGTAATAATTACCTCTGCAAATACGTAGATGATTTCTTCCTCTACAATGTGGTATTTTTATGATTTTGATAAATGCATTTGATTTGACTTAGTCTGAGATGAATTGGAAAAGATTTGTTAGAATTTCATTAATTTAAAAATTTGAAAAAGACAGAGCTCATTGTTACATCCATATTGGACTAGGCCTATCGGTGCTGGAATGTTCCATATTAGCAATGTTTTAAGATATAATTTAGGCCAATTAAAAAAAAAACGTGGTTACGCTCACTGTTTTGCTTGTGTGGACATGTTTTTATATATATATTTATTAAAAAAAAAAAATCGTTAAACACAAAATTAAGGTGAAAAAAGTTTTCTTTTATTCACCAAGCAGCATTTACCGAAAGTCTAAGTGAGAAAATGTGTGTCGCATCTTTGTTGCCAATCACCAAATAGGTATTGAAAATGTCCTTTTAAATAATTTTTTAATCCTAAACTAATAAAGTTAAAATGACGATTTCAATACCCTTTCGACCCTGTGTTCGAAAGCATTTAATTCCCATTAAATTTAACAGTTTCCTCTTTTATTTGATAACCACATTGTTATTCTACATTGCAGTGAATTTTTTAAAATTTGAAATAAATAAAATCCTGACGTCAGAGAGAAAAACTGAAAACGCAGTTTTACTATATTCGGTCCCGAGTTTCGTGAATAAATTGAATGTTGCACGCTATGGTATGTTGTCCACATTTGTAGGCTGCCGGCCAAGAGATAATCATTTTTAAAAGAAGGGTTTTGAAGGTATCGGAAAGAATTTTTCTCCACGCTTCATAGCTAAAACTGCTTAGAATTTATTTTCATGAAGCTACTGAAAAACTCGGACACGGTGGTTGTGGAATTAATTTATTTATTAGAAATTGTCCACGAAAATGCTACAGATGTAGACTACAGAGCACAAGAAGGATAAATTTTAAAATTAGAGCATTGCATTTAATAATTCTATTTCACCTTAAATGGATAGAAAGAATAATTACATACTAAAAACACAGTTTCTATTTATTACCTGTAGGTATTGTTAAAGCAATTGTGAAACTCAGTAATCAATTTTTAATGAATAACATGGAATAACTGCCTTATTCGCCCGATTCAGACCGATTAGTTATTCCCCGGAATAACTATTCTGACTTTTTTATTACGCCTTATCTTATTATATTAAACGAGCAATTCTTGTATATATATATCCATAGGGTTCTCGGAAACGGCTCTAACGATTTTGATGAAATTTTGTACACAGATAATGTTTTGGATTCTAAGGTTATCTGAATAGGAGTTATTTCCGAGAAGACTCGTATAAAGTTGCCACCTATTCGAGATTAGTTACAAATTGATTAGAATTTGGGTATCAAATGGTACGTATTTTAAAGATCTTTAATTCAAAAATATTTTTAATAAGGTTGCCACCTATTTTGAATCGCATATTTATTTAATTTTTTGTTTAGAAAAAAAGGTAAATTATTACTATTCATGGGTACCAAGAGAAGGTTCTTAAACAATGATTTTCCTATATACAAAATGTTATCTCTTAGGTTACCACTTATTTTCGATTCTACACAATTTATCTAAAACATCGCAATATGGATATCAAATGAAAGGTATTGTTGGGAACTTTGGTCAGAAATCAGGATTGCTACGCTTCATAATTTCAATCAAATTTTTTTTATATATACATAGTACATATACGATCAAGATATGTACCATTCATTCCAGCGTATTTCGGAATAGGGTTTCCACCAAAATTTTGCAGTATAAGCACTCCGGGCAAAGCTCGGTCAACCTGGTACTTCCGTTTTATTCAATGCGTCATTAATAGACTTATTCCGACTAATTCTCCTCTATTCCGTAAATATTCTTCCTCTGCCTTATTTCGACATATTCGGAGTGTCAATAATATGGCTGTAAGTATTAATATAGAATTTGTCACAGCTAAACTAAGTAAATCACTGATATTAAATGACCACCCGCCTCTACCTATCCTACTTTCCAAACAAACCCACTCTATACTAGACAAAACACCATCGTGTTTAAATAGAATTGTAAAGTTTTCACAGCAATTTGAAACAGAGATGGGCGTGGTATATCGGGAACCGCGGGACCCACGATACTGATTTCAAAATTCCTAGGAGCGGTGGTATCGGGTTGGTGTGTAAAAATTTTGCGGGTGGGACACTCCCGATAAAATCGCAACCTCCGCAAATTTAGAAAATCTTCCTTAAAAACGTTGTATGTTTGAAATATTCACATTTTTATGTTTTGTTCACCAAAGCAAAACAAAATAACCGGAAGATGGCAGATCTTTCATAAGTTTTTTTTTATTATCTAAAATTAATTTGAAAGACATGTGGATTTTTCTTAGTGATAGATTTCGGGACCCATCTCTAATTTGAAATAGTTTAACTATAACTTACATGAAAAACCCGTATAATATCCACACTGGATGCTTACCAGCTCAATGATTAATACAGAATTGAGCACACATAAAAAAACGATGACAGCCTCCGCAATTTGTTAACACATTTTACGCTATAAATAAAGTTTCAATGACTTACAATTTATATTCACGGATGGTCGTAAAATAAACTGAAATGCAACCTACAGCATAGTCGAAAATAACAAATTCAAACAAATATATGCCTTACAAACACGCTGTATGCACGGACTCCTTATCGTCTTTGCGCAAATACTAAATATCGAACTTGACTCAGCTGTCAAACACGCTTTAAAAACTCCACTTAAAACCACCGCAAACCTTTCATTCTGCGATATTGAAAAAAGAACTAAAAACCCAATTCATTAAAATCCATACATCTTCCTCCCAATGCTATAAAAGCACTACACAAATAGCTAAATCAATAAATTGCTATTTAAGACAATTTAAGCGTAATACGTATGCGTCATAAGAAACATATTATATTAGAGATATCTTTAAAATTTTGTAATAAATGTATTTTATGTGGTATTTCTATTTTGTTTTACAGGGAAAGCAAAAGAAAATTAGGAAAAATAAAATGACGAAATTGGATGCACGCATATTAGGTTTCTCCGTTACTGCTGCTGAGGGTCGTACGAATGTTGGTGATCGAGTTTACGTGGACGCGCCATAAATATCACAACCTATTATGAAATTTTCAGCAGTTCGTCTAAATGGATTCAATTTCTTGGAAGCACATATTGAACTCAACAACAGGCTTAAGATAGGGGGGCACAACATTTGCGTGCATGTATGTTCTGTTTGAGGAGATAGAGCGAATGGTATATTTATTTGGTTTTAATATTCAATCTTTTGCATTCTTCTTTTTAGGCTTTTGCTGACATATATATATTTATATATATATATATATATATATATATATATATATATATATTGTTAAATAAATATTTTTTGCTCCTTTAAATAGAAATTCAATTTCTCCGTATTCGTTTAAAACGATTTATCTACAAGTGTAGCTTAAGTAACAGAAAGTTAAAAATTTCAGTTATGAGACAAAAAATATCCGAATGTTACGAGGAGTTAAAACGCATAAATATTTTGTATTGTCTTCAACTAAGTAAACTTTGCACTTTTATAATAAGGAGGCATATGGAAAAATTTATTTAGTTATCTGAAAACAGTTATTTACTACATAAATATATGAATTCAATTTGCGATGTGTACTTTTTGTATGCATTATAAGATGGTGGAAAATTTTGCGTTTGAGGTTTGTTTCATAGCGATATCATAAAAACCTGCAGCATATGTACATTGAAATATGTAAATATTTATGAGTAAATTCAATTGTGTAATCCCTGCAGCAATTTCAGATATGTAGCTCAAAACCAGCGCAAATCTGGTCCATTAGTAAACGGAACTGCTTCAGGTTCGCTCTATCCCTATATAAAGCTCTTAACTGCGATGCCCTACGATGTAAGCCCTTATTTCTCTGCACAACTTTGGAACGCCATGGCGGCTAGTCTAGGGAATGGAAGTTCCTGTCGGGGTCGCATAACTATAATTCCGTATCTAACTATCCATTTAACATAGCGACGCGAACTAGGCTACTAACGCATGTTTAAAAATGAACATCCAGCGACACAACCGCCACGCTCTTTTTCGTTTGTTTATTAGTTCAATTCGGGTCCATTTAATTTTTCTTTCAACTTTTACTTATTACTTTTTTGCAGCAATCCTCAGAAGCTCCATTTATAAATTTTATTTCTACGATCGCCAAAAAGTTTCTGATCGTATTTTACATACGCGTATGCATCGCATAGAAGCAAAAGTTGTAATATGTTATATTTTAGAAATGCGTTAAATGAATAAGAATACAATTTAATAAATAAATTTTGATGCTATATTTGTATATAAAATGTTCTGGATGCCAGTACATGTTGTATAAATATGCTTAACATCCTTGGGGAATTCAATATAAATGACAATATCTTAAGGTAAGTTTATGATTTGATTTTTACTACCAGTCCTTATTTTAATTTGTTATAAAAACTTCTGCGGATCGAAACGTAGAATTTTAAAATTACTATATTTTTACCGGCTGTTATATGTTAATAATATAAAGAATCCCTGGCCTAATTCTCTATGACAAGAGACAATATCAAAATCGGATTCTTACCGTGTTTTGGTGGAAATTTCTCTTTAAGCAGAGATCACACGATTTGCACATTTGTACAGATTTGTGCATTTTAGCAGTCACAGAGTGGTTTTGTCTAGAAATTTTTATCGAGAATGAGTTCATCTCAATAACAACTTTCTAAATAACACCACTCTGTATCAGTGAAAATGTAAAAAAACTGTAGAACAATCGTGTGATCCCTGCTTTAGAAAATTCTCCCAACTATAACTTTGTCACGCACTGATATGTTCGTATGTATATGTATGTATATTAAGACTAACTAATTTCCTAAATTAGATGTCTGTATGTATGTATCCTGTAGCCTACCAAACCGATCGCTTTACAATTTGGACACACAATGAAGTCATCTTGATATCTTGACCGCATGCAAAGATATCCATAAATCAAAATGCAGGACTACCTAGAACCTTAGCTTTGTGTTCAACAAATTACTACGTCTCCAGCGAAATGATATCAAAGGAAAGAGAATTTGCAATTCAAATGTTTTTACAAGCTTTTATTTAACTTGGTCATCCCGCGGAAATTTCCAATCGATTTTAAACTAACATCCCGACAAGGTAGAGACTTGACATTTTCAGCATAGTTCCAATCACGATGACAATGCAATTTAAAATATAAATTAATTCCCGATATGGTCCAGGGGTCTTGATACAAAGGCGGTCAAAACATAGTAAAATGTATGGCTAACAGAGCGTAATTTGCCAAATAACGTAAAACCACTATAAAATTGTTAAAGCTGCCGGCGGTAATAAATAAGAAGTATAGTTGCAGGCGCTAGTAAGAGAAATACCGGAAATCAACTTCAACAGTTACTAGTAGTGTTGCCACAAAGATTTTTAATTTTTTACCAAACCTCTAAAAAAAAATTACCAAACTCAGAAAAAAATTACCAAATTTTTATGAGCATAATATTCTAAACAAATTGGAAATTATTTTTCGACGTATGTAGATAATACACCACGTCTGGGATTGTGGCCAGCTTGGATCTATTTATATTTTTCGACCGAAAAATGAGTTCTTCCCATTCTTTTATGACAAACTCATAAAAATGCATGATGTCGCTGCCGCGTTCAAAAAATTCATATCACCATCGATTCAATGTATTTAACCGGAGCTTCTACCTCCGATTTGTACTAATCAGACATTGAACAATCGGCCCTAAAACATAAAAGAAAAAAATCGCTCAGAGATTTATAAACATTAGTTCATTTATACTGCAGATTATGCCTATTGGAAAAAAACAGATTACAACTCGAAGGAGGTAGTTGCTCATATTAGGTACAAGCATATGAAAGGAAAATAACAAAAACGAATAAATAAACATTGCAGATCACCTCTTGTTGAAAATATCTAAACTCTTAACTGTAGTTAAGCGTTTGGTGGAAATGGGCTGTAACATACAGTCTTTTACATAATTTATTTTACATAACTTAAAACCAAAACATGAAACCAGCAAATGTATCGTTAAACGGTAGATAAAATTTACTTTTACTACTTTATAAGTGGGTCACATTCGTACTTAATCGCAAACTTTTAATTAGTCCCGTGAAATTATTTTCTTTCACCATTGGTTCCGGCAGGTAAAAATGATCCAAAATCCAGATTTGTGGAACTGTAGGGGCTGTGATCGAGCCGCCATATTGGGAAAAATGGGTGATTTCCTGCTATATTGCAAACTCATACTAAAAGTTCTGAGTTGTCAAGGCAAATTGTTACATTGAAGAGCCCTTTCAATTTTTGGATCTCTTAAGGTGTAGATACATACATATGTAAGTACATAAGGAAATTTTTTTGTTTTGTGCAATTGTCAGAAGGTTCAAAGTTATAAATTTTTATATGTAATAAGTTAGTATTAAAAACTTTAAAGAAAAGACTTACGTTAAAAAAATTACCAAATTACCATACTCCTCCTAAAAAGAAAAAAATTACCAGTTTTGGTAAAAAATTACCAAAGCGGCAACGCTGGTTACTACGTTTATACGCATGCATAAGTCGCTTTAATTCATTTCGCCGCGATTCTAAACATGTATAAACTGAATTTCAATTCGCTGTGAAAGAGCGAAGTGGTTTGGCTCACACTCCATTTCAAATCGGTAGTTTATTTCTCCAGACAGTTAGAAAGAGTGTATAAACACCGCTCTCACTCAAAGCGAATTGGAGATCAGCTGTTCCGCTCAAATTCCAAATAATCGCATTTAAAAGCTGATTAATAACAATCGTTCTTTTCCTTTGCCACAATTTGATAATGCCGAATAAAACTAGATTTTTATCACTTTCCATTATGTTAACTTATAAAATGTCAAATGAAAACACCTGATTTTGTTTGCTTTTGAAGACGGTTACTTTGATGCCGATATAAAGCCGTATAAACACTAGAACGAAATATGTACGGTGTCAATGCGCTTTCAATTAAGTCGATTATTCTGTGCGTATAAACGTAGTAAGTGTTTAAATTGCCAAACTGTTAAGTTTTAAGCACTTCTGTTAAGAATTACATTATTTGGTTTCCTCACACAGGGAGTTATGGAAATTTGTACAGAGATACAATAAAAGCCACGCATAATTCATATGCATGCATCTTAAAAGTGTACATACATAGGTACTTCTACTATCGCGCAGGCGAAAAAATTTCAGTTGGTACGATCAGGGTTGCCAACTATACTTAGCTATGAAGTGCCATATTGAGGATAAAACAGTGCCAAAATGTGCTAAATAGAAAAATAAAAGTGCCAAAAAAGCTGTAATTCTTTTCAGTTCTTCTCATTTAGCATTAAAATTACAAACACATTCCTAAAACAAAAGTCCAATGCAAAGTAAGATAAACCAGTTGTATACACTATAGAAATTGGAAAATTTTAGTTGACAAAAAGAAATATTATTTTTCAAAAGTGCCAAATTGAAAAATTAAGTGTCATTTTAAGTAAAATACGGCCAAAAATGGCACGGTTTGAGCCAAGTTGGCAGCCCTGTGTACGATGTGTTTCTTCTGAATACTGTTAAGGCTATGTGGATAATGCTGCACAGCCGTGCAAAATAAATAATTGTCTATAATTAACATACCGAAGTGGTCAAAAGACTTAGGCTTAATTTCAGATGGCCTACTTAAATAGAGATTGTTGATTAACTTTCACTATTCATTCTCAGATCATTTCATTTAATCTGAACCTAAATGGCCAATATTGGCTATTTAAGTATGAGATATGCAACCCTGGGTTTGTAGCAAACAACCAGGGTTCGGATTTGCCTCATTTTAGCCCCTCGCTCGCTCGTTAGTTTGCTCTGAGCTAGAACAACTCACGAGCAACAAGCGAGGCTGTTTGCAAACGAGCACTCGTTAAGTACGAGCGCCCGCGCTGAGCAGCCAGCGAGCTAGTAAGCAAACGAGCGCAAGAGTAGAGCGGCAAGCAAACGAGGGCCTCATTAGCAATGCCCTCGCGAGGGCGTCGTTGCGAGCGAGGTACTCATTTGCGGCAGCAGACGAGCGAGGCGAGTAAACGAGCGAGGCAAATGAGGCAAGCAGATTAGACAGGCAAATGCGTTGTTTGGTCGGCAAAAATGTATGGAATAAAAATTGCAGCAACTAAGAATTTTATACATATGTATATACACATATCTATATTAATAAAAATGTTGTGTTTGTATGTCACGGTCGTCAAAACTCGAGAACGGCTGAACCGATTTGAATATTTTTTTTTTATTGTTCGGTATAAAATCAGAACCAATGATATCGCAAAAAATTGGAGGGCTGACACCTATTTGAAAATTATTAAACCTAATTATATTGATAAAATAAATAATTAATTACAATATGGGTATCAAATAAAGAGGTTTAAGAAAGATAACTGCTGGAAATATTTTTGACGAGGGTTGCCACCTATTTGAAAATTTTAACTCAGACAAATTGATAAAGTAAATGAAATATTGCAATGTGGGTATCAAACTAAAGAGTTTAAAGAAGGCTCACAGGCGAAAATATTTTGAAGGAGGGTTGCCATCTGTTAAAAAATTTAGCGCAATTTAATTGATAAAAGAATATATATTACAATATAGATATTTAATAAAAGAGATTTAAGAAAGATAACTGCTGGAAATATTTTTGAAAATATTGAAATTAAATGAACTATTACATAACTGATTCGAAACGGAAAGTGATTGGGAAAGCTTTATCAGAGAATTTTTTTTTAATGTTTTCTCTTATCCAAATCCAGACAGTTTATTATTATTATTATTGTTTGGGATAGAGCACTGCGACCTTAAGATCTATTGTACCCCCTTCATGGATTATAGTGTGTCTATTAATACAGTATCCGAGAGAAACTTTAGTATAGAACCTAAGTCTACGGATTTCACTTCGCCTTTGGTTGTCAGATGTTCACCCAGGTGCCTTTTGCGTTTATGCATCAGTGCAGGACATTCTTCTAAGATGTGCTGTGCAGTCTCGTTTTCCATCCTGCAAAATCTGCATCGCTCATGCGAGTAAACTCCCAATTTAGTCAGGCGATAGTTCAGCCTGCAGTGTCCTGTCAGGATTCCTGTAACAATTCTTAAGTTATTCTTTGATAAGCTCATACATTCCTTGAAGCGTTTTAGGTTATATGTTCCTAAAAGTGCTTTGGACTGCTCTAGACCTGGTAGATTATCCCAGTAGTGATTCCTCTGAGCTTCTTCCTTTAGCCGAACTAGTTTAGAGAGTGCCCCTTTTCC